TTCACATATGCTGTACATATATCCATAATGAACTAAGAAGATGCTTACCAGAAGACCACTATGGAGATGATCCAACTTTACCTTCACCTTCATCTCTCCTGTGAGTGATAAATAAATCCAAGTGATGTTTACTAGCTCATTTCTTTTACTGGTACAGTATCTTATCTGGGAACCCTCGGCCTGCCACAGTTCATTGTTTACCCAGTGACGTTGTGTTACAGATCACCTGCAGTGTTTGACATGGTATCTAATCACATAGGTACATAATAAATATACAGTAAATTTATTGTATTTAAATGCTTAAATCTTCTTGAAGTTTTTCTTGCTTTATTAAAATGCTTCCAGAAGCAGGTTAAAGTTCATAAATCATATGAAAGTAAATTAATAAATCAGTCATCTGTGCAGTTATAGGCCTGTTTTTGGACCATTGGAATTGTTATGACTTGTGACTGGTGTACAGTATTAGTTTAGATATTTACTTGAATTTACTTAAAGACCACTATTTCTGATGGCCTTGATGGGGCCAGGAAACTGATGGCTTATGGAAGATTATCCTTATTATTAGTGAGGGTTTTTAAACTTTAATTGAAGTGTATCAGTGCTATATTATATGTTGGTATTTATTGCCTTGGCAAGTAAGGGATTTCATGGGTTTATTACCCAATGGGTGGTGAGCATCTGTTGTGTGCTATATTGTGGTTTATTGAGCTTGAAGTGGTGTTGGACCTTTTACATTATTGGTCTGGTTTAACATCTTTGAATTTTAGTAATTTGTCTCAGAGGTCAGCCCTGTTGTGTCTTATTTATGCTTTATATTATAGAAGCTTGTAAGTTTGTTTGAAATGCTCTTCTGTACTGTTAATCATTTATTTGATTTGCTAATAAGAATTTATCAGTCATATTGTATTTGTATTCAGGTACAGTAATTCACTTAGCCATGAGTCTTTACTGTACCTGCACAATTCTTAACATTTCAGGGCTCGGTGAAAGGCAGGATATAGAATTTGGTATATAATTTTATTATATTGCATAGTTCTATGTGAATTAGCAGTTAACGGTTATAAAGGATAAGAGTACTGCACGAGCTCACTTATCCAAAGTCCACCGATTCGAATATTTGGATTATTCGGCAAAATTCGCCGTTGGATATTTTTCTGGCAAAACCTCTCCATATCCGAATAGCAATTTGGATAACCAGAGATTTTGCCAAATACTGCAGACAGGCATCGAGCCATACCGTATTAATCCTGTACAGCAGTGGCTTGAGGAGTGGGGTATGGGAGGTGCCGGGTTGGCTGGTTCTGGGATAGTGTGTCAGAGGGGAGAGAGAGGGAGGTGGGTCGAGAGGGACTCTCTGGGGGGGGGATGAGGCCCAGACCTTATGATCATTCGCATTGAATAATCAAGAATTATGTTTAAAATAATTAATTACAGTAAAAAACTAAAGAAGTACAGTAAAGTCTAATAATATAAATACAAATTTGTTAAAAAGTATGTGAATGTAGTTCCCTAAAAATTTTGGGAGTTTTTATCCACCTGGCGGCCTATGTAACGTACCTGCCCCAAGGGAACCCATCCAGGCCATGTGCTCTCAACCCTCACATATACCAGTGCTGTGCCATTAGTGAAACAGTTTCTTAAATAACTTTTTTTGTTTTCGTAGTAACTTTGAATCATTTTTTGCCAAGACTATGTCTGGTAATGGCAACAATCATCCTGGAGGCATTAAGAGGAAGAAGGTTGTGCTAACACCACCATAGACAACCAAATACAGTTTACTCGTGTTTTCTGTTGACATGTTAATTAATTTGTCATCCAACTGTTAATCCAGAAGTTGGAAACGTGCATCAGTACCTGAGGTGAACCAAAGAGCTGATCATAAGAGAGTTCACTGAACACAGGAGGCAAGCAAAACTCGATTCTTATTTTGGTAAAAACAGCAAGCCAAGGCCCTTAACCAGTGCAGCCTCACCAAAAAGCCAAGAGCCATCAACCAGTGAGGCTTCAGCAACTGGCAGTCAAAACTGTTGTTGTCAAGCTCATGACTTTTACAATAATTTTAATGTTAGGTTATGTAAATTTTCAAGGATTATTGATTTGAAAATACAGTACTGTACTGTACTGTATGCAGCATCAATCGAGAAGACAAACTACAATAAGGTAAGTTGAAATTGATATTTTCAATTACAGTACTGTACTGGTATATTTTTTAATTATAGGATATGTGGAAATTCAAATTATGTTGTTGTGGTACAAAAAAATATGAATGTTAACTTTTGAACTTGCCCGGTAAAATTCTGCTTACCCACATGTCTGGCTTATCGGCAGGGGGGGGTCTTTCCATATAATTCAGATAAGTGAGCTTAGACAGTGTATGATTTATACATTTGTGTAACTGATGACTTTGTGTAAATATATGGTTATAAGGATAATGTAAAACTATAAAAGAGAACCGAATCAATGTCTTAAAAAAATAGGCAAAGTAGTACTAGATATGCTCAAGTCACATACCACTAAACAAAAAGAAACAAGATGCAAATTGGAATGAGAAGGGTATTCTCTTTGTGTTTCTCTTTTTCCTGTTTTATCCTCAGATGTTTCACTGATTGTTTTATCACTTGTTTTTCTTTATTTATATTCACAGAGAGCTATTATATCCATATTTGCATCATACTTATTAAACCCAGACAATAATTGTTTAAATCATCATGTGACAATGACCGCATTACCCTAGTAACATGATAAACATTCATACCATGAAATGGTGGCAGGATTTTTTCCATGGGTCAAGGTAAACTTCAATACATCCACATAGACCTATTATATCCATACAGTATTTGCATCGTACACATAAAACCCCAGACAATAATTGTTTAAATCTTCATATAATGACAGCCACATTAGTCTGTGACTCAACAATGTCTGCTGCCTAAGGGTTAAAAGTCTTGTATTGTGGTGTGCATGACAAAAAGTAGCCCACAAAGCTAATCACATTTAGAAATTTGAATATATGAGGTAATCATAGATATAATTAGTTGTTTATTTGTTAACTGGGGAATGATACAAGGAAGAAGGAAGTTATCAGAAAATATCGTAGGGGGCCGCTGAAGGTGCACCCTATCTAGCAGGTGGGTGGGTGGGGGAAGAGGGGTATTATGGCAAAAGACTACCCCCCCCCTGAAATGGGAGTCCACCGGGAAAGAGGAAAGAACACCTAGAGGGGGAGGATGGGTGAGCACGAATTACTGGAAAATGTATGGTAGTTTGGAGCAAGGTGTGGAAGAGATGCATTGTGGGCTTTTTTAAATATTCCTGCCAAGAGCTTGGCTCGACTCCTTTGCTAGCAAGCTGCATATTAAAAATATATTATTAACATACTATTATTTCATCTTTGAAAATGAGTTAATGATATGAAACAATTTTTTTTATAGTTAAATATTAAAATTTTCTGATTATTTTGATGAAGGGTAAATTTGAATTTTTTTTAATAAAATTCAGAGAAAACATGAAATAAATGAATACATGAAGAAATATTTCAAAAATGGTTTCGGATTAATATTTTAAATAAATATTTTTGGGTTCGATAGTGCCACATGCCTTTAAATTCTTTCTAATTAATGTATTTCTTTGTATAATTATAATTTTATTAAGTACTAATATCCAGATATAAATTCTTGGTAATTATATATAATATTGAGATTTATAAGCAGAGCTCGGTTTCCTTCAATTTCTGAAGTGAAAAACATTGAGTCTTGAGTCACATTTACTCCAGGTAAAGCAAAAACTGTCATATGTCATTAACTGTCACCTAAGGATCTTGTCTCTTCAAGATTGTGGTTAAATTTGGTTACAAAAGAGGGTATAAGAAAGTATGCATGAAAAGCAACACTCTGAGGTGATATACCAATGGGCATATAGTAAAAAGATTGAACATATGGCTGCTTTTCATTTTGAAAATGCATGTTTTCGTGGTGAAGGTACTACAGATGTTCTGAGAATGGATAAGCTTGCTGCAGGTTTCACAGAGTCATGGACAAGTAATGAAAAGTCATGGAAAATTGAGATAGATTTTGTTGATAAACTGTTTTGAATTGTAAATGAAATACTGCATATACATTATCTTTATTAATTGATTACAGCTTGAAGCAAGACAAAACTTCATTTGATGAAGACCGTTTTGCACTAGACTGTCAACATGTAATGATAACCGCACTTTGAGAGTTAAATTCTCATTTACGTTCTTTTTCAGTCTGTAGTCTTTAAAGTTGGTGGATTGGATAGCTGTAACTAGAAAGGGGATTCAGTACAGTATTTTTGATAAGCTGGTTGTGGTAGTATCCTTTTGTGTACTGTATCAGTATTCTCAGTTTTCTGTTTACATTTGCAACTTTCCAGCATTTTTATTATGAACTTTAAAGAATTTATTAATGAAAAAGTAATGAAAAATATATCTGATTTGCATGGGATGCAATATTTTTAGATTACATTGAATGGGCTATACAGCCATATTGTCTTAAACATTAGGTTAATCATGTTAACAATCCACAGATTTGGAGATTTGGTTTTGGTTATAGCCAAGTCATTTCTGAGGCTCGGTCTTTCTGCCAAACCACACTTGAATACACCAATAAAAGCTTGTATGCTACAGTGCAGCTCAAACATTATATTACTGTATTAGCATTTGTCATGAAATTTGTTCTCTCTTTTTTGTGCAAGATGCTTTAAAAAAAATCTGTGGATAGAATGTAGTTCTCCATAGAAATGTAAGTTAACTGTGTATCTACATACAGTGCATTGTATGTAAAGAATGATTTAATGTTTTTGCTTTTAGTATGCAATTACCGCACTACACTGTGTGAATAATTTATTTATATTAACGGTTAGATTAATTTTTCTGTACATGAATACAGAATAATGAATTGTAATTGTAAGACTTCTGAGAATGTAGCAGCACTTCAGTCTATTTGTGTGAGGTATTGATTTTAATTTTCATATTTCAGGAGTGGAAGCAGCCTTTACTATGGAGGATTACAAATTTCTCTTCAAGGTGGTGCTAATTGGTAATGCTGGTGTTGGAAAAACTTGTCTTGTGCGTAGGTTCACGCAGGTGAGAGCCAATGTTTTATCTGTTAAAACTGTAAAGTGTGGTCAGAATATTGTGAGAGAGACAAAGAACTTCTTCATTGTAGCTTTGAATTTAGACCAAAAATAAAGAATTTGTAACAAATATTGCTTCAGCAACTCAACCGCAATATTTACCAACAAAAGGTAATCGAGGCCAGTTTAGCCATAGAACTAACATTCTATTTTTTTTAAATGTCATGAAATTGTACAATAAACTTGGATAATTTTGTTTTCAGCTTTAATTGTAATATATTTTAGAATGTTACATAAGCCTAATTGCATAGTGATTTCATATTCTCAGAAGGAAGACAATGTATGACAAATTGCAGGTTCTAAAGAATAAAAAAAACTTGAACCTTTTACTGCTCTCTAGCCTGAAAATATGGGGATAATCATGCAACATGTTACGTACAAGTTAGGTTGTTGACCGGGTTGTTATATGGACTATGTACTTTTTTCAGGGTCTTTTTCCCCCTGGTCAAGGAGCAACTATTGGAGTCGATTTTATGATCAAAACTGTGGAGATTGAGGGTGAAAAAATAAAGGTAAGTTAAATTTGAAGTTTTGATGTGAAATACTTGTTTAGAAGAAGTTAATTAACCAATGCAAATGTATTTTATGATAACTAGCTTTCAGGGTGAGGTAAACTGTTTGTTCTGTTTGTATGCAAACATAAAAGCAAAGGGTAAAAGTGCATCGGGTGAAGCACTATTCTAAAAGGTGAACTGTTCTGAGTTTACTTGTAGCTTCATTTGAGACAAAGCATCTTGATATGGGGGACTTGCATTGTTCATTAGTTGTATGCCATGATTATTTGTAAGCAAGCATTGACATTAAAATTTAATAAGGAAATGTTCCTATAGGTAAAGAAAGTGTTAGGCGATATCAGAACTGAACTTGGTTTGTGTACTGTTTGGAATGTGGTGGCACTTGTCTATTATCAGTCCCCGTGGCGCACTAGTAACACATTCGCCCAGTGCTTTGTGAGCGATTTGGCCTGGGTTCGAATCCTGGCAAGGGAGGATTGACTAGGTGCCAATCTGTACGCCTCTGTTCATCCAGCAGTGAATGGGTACCTCCTGTTAAACGATTTGATGAGTCGTATTCCAGGAAAAATTATTAAGGACCTGCCCAAAACGCTATGCACGTTAGAGGCTTTACAAGAATGTAAGAACTCTTGTACATATACAAAAATAAATAAAAATCCTTGATGCAGTATACTGTGCCTGTTGTTTGAATGATATGAGATGTTTGCTTTATCACCCATCAGATGTCAGTCTTGACATCCTCATTGTTGCCTGTTCCCATGTTCCTCACATTCATGAATGTTCTTCACATTCAGGACCTGCAATCATCTGTGACAGATCAAAAAGTCTTGGGAAGCATCCAATTGGAATGGCTCGGATAGTATTTATGAGAACGTAAGAATAACGGAAATGCAGAAGTCCTATCGACTCATACTAGGCAGCTCCTGTATATGTCTACCCAAGCACGCTCATATATATGTCTAGCATAAGAGCATAACATAAAAAGATAACATAGTAGTAGTCCAAAAATTACACCATTAGAATTTTACTGATGCACAATCTGGTAACAAATGTTTGGAAGTTTTCAGATCTCTTATATTTTGTACAGGCAACTTCTTTTAGGTATAAATGCTTTAATACAAAACTGTATTTTTATTTATTCCTTTAAAACTTAATTGCATAAATCTCTCTTGCAGCTTCAAATTTGGGATACTGCTGGACAGGAGAGATTTCGTTCCATAACACAGTCATACTACCGCTCAGCCCATGCTCTAATCTTAGTGTACGACATATCCTCGCAACCCACTTTTGACTGTTTACCAGATTGGCTACGGGAAATTGAACAGTATGCCAGCTGTAAAGTTCTTCGAGTACTTGTTGGTAAGCATGAAATGGTGGAATAGACCAAACATAGTACAATATACAGTACCTATTTTTAATCATTTTTATTAGTACCTAGTGTCAGTCTTGCTATCTGTAAAGTTCACTTGTTCATTGTTACAATGTTCTGCAGTCTAAAGCCTTGAGGAAGAAAAATGTCCCTCAGGAGGCTACATTATCCAGTCTACAATGCACATAATGTGTACATTGGTGGAGGAAATAAACCATGACCATTGTGTTAATCTGAAAGAGATAAGACACTTTCCTAATCAGATTGGAAGACGTCTAGGCAAGTTACTGAAGGTTCGTGAAAAGCAACGAGTGAAAGAATTTAACACTGCAATATTGTACAGTGATAGGGAACATTGAATTGAACATAATTCTCTCTACAGAATGTTTGGTGGAAGCATAAGTGGCTTTAGCATTAGCTGAAATGGTTAGTTGCATGAAGCTTGCATGTGTTGTCTCATGCATTTTCTACAACCCCCTTCCAAATATATCTCTTAATACCTGTCTAGTAATTTTTTTTTTTAACTTTTCTTTTTTCAACAAACTTAAGCAATTTCTATAAATTTTTATACATTGATAAATAAAAAATCTCATGTATTATCGTGTACATAATAGTTTGTGCTCATTATTTTTAAATTTTGTACTATTTAAATTGATAAAATGTTTTATGGTATAGCAGGTGGTAATGGTTTATACAGGCATGTAATGTATTACTAACTCAGTTGATTGATTTATTAGCAGAAATTATATGCCAATGGTATATGTACTAACTTAACCTACATAAAAATAGTAATAAAGATCTGCCTTGTTCTTGCTCTATATCATTAACACTTTAACGTTCCAGCCTGCCAGCACGTACCAGACAGTAAACGTTCCGGGCATCTCGAGTCCCACTCTTTGTACAGTACTTGGTGTTATTATTTTTTCCTATTTTTTTTTATAGTTTTCACAGTTAGTTTTTGGGCTATAAACTATAAATCTGGTGTCAAAATATTTGCAGATGAATTTGCTAGAGTATGGGTGCAAAATAAAATGTTTTGATAATAGATTATATATGACAGTGCTGAATATATGTATGAATGTTTACAAATATTGCTCATTTGTTTACAACATTCAACAACATTTGTCAACATTTTCAGCTCATTTGTTTTCAACATTCCCATCTTATTTTGTAATATAAAAGTATGGAAATATGCACATATTATGTTTATATTACTTTAAAAAAGAAAACAAAATACAGGTATAACATACTTTTCAGCTGGTAAATTGGAAAGCATAGTGAAAATTCTCACAAGCAGATCCATTGTCATCTAGAGTGATAAATAGTTGGCCGAGGTGATCTCTAGATGGTCTATTGATAATTTGGTTGGTCCCCTGATGAATTATGCCCACACTGAACTAAAATTAATAAATGATTTTTGGGAAGTTTGAGATGGACGATGTGTTCAAACATCATCAGAACATTTACTGTCAGGGTACGGCTGATGCACTGATTCATCGGAACGCAAAAGTGATAATGGCTGTCAATGCATGAATTCACAAGATTTTATGGGGTTCAAATACAGTATGTAGTTTAGACACTAGCTTGAATCCCATGAAATATTTTGATCATGAGGATAGTTTCTTTGCTATTAGACCACTAACCAACTAACATTTCCTCAAAACTAGGAAACAAAACAGATCGGGAAGACAGAGAGCTTCCTACACATGTAGGGGAAGAATTTGCCCATCGCCACAACATGTATTTCATTGAGACTTCTGCTAAAGAAGCCGACAATGTAGAAAAACTATTTATTGAAATCGCCAAGGAGCTTACACAGGTAATAGCGCCTATTGTGAGCCTTGTATTTTTTTAATTACAGATGATTTACCCATTTGACTGTTTTTGTGTATTTATTCAGAATGTTGATATATTGTTATCTTTTAAAATTTTAAAGTATTTTTAAGAAGTTCAGAATGACATGAAATCTGATACGGAATATATTTTCAAGTCAAATTTTTAATTTCTTACAAATAATCTTTTGTCTTATTGTTGTACATTCCAATAATGTACCAATAATACACTGTTAACTTAGTGAAACATTTCTACAAAATTCAATATTTGTCAAATAATTATTACTAATAAATACATAAGAACAGTAAAAATGCTGGCAAACACGACAATTAGAAATAATGCCACGGTTCCGACCTGGAGTGAGTTTTGGTGATGTTTTCAGAATTCGCATCACAACCAACAAGCTCCTCTCCTTCTATATCAGATTTTGGTGAATTCTTCTTCTTCTGGTAGCAAAATCAGTCCTCTATAAATTTTCCTCTATTTTGTGGTTGCATTGTACAGTATTCTCTCAACCATTTTCTATTCCTTGAACTAATATAGTTGAGGTTTCTGGGCAGCTGGTGATTTTGAGCTAGGATGGCTATGTTAATTTTTCTGCTCACACTTTTTTTTATGGAATCCTGTACTGTATTTTCATCTGAGTTTTTGCATGTAGTGATAATATTTTTCACTTGATGAGTAGATGCCATCTTGCAGGACAACATGGCAGTCATTTTGATGGCTGCCTGTGCTTGACAACCTAGGTGACTAATGCAAGAAGTTCCCAATGTGTGATAATTCAAACACATGTATTCTTTGCTGCTGTAATTATTATTTATGATAAATATTAGTAAAGGTACTGTATCTGATTTTAGTAATTTCAAGAAACTGAAATGGGTATAATTATTGTATCGTGTTTCTTGATTAAGGTAGTGAGGTCTGCCACATCGAGGAAAAGTAGTGTTGTTGTCTGAGGGTGCATCAGGTATAGCGGCTGTTTTTCATTTACCTCCGGAAGGAAAGTCTTTCAATGTTACTCGAACAAATATATTTGTGCCAGCATTACACAATTTTAAGCAGTTTGATTTCTGATGAGTACACATAGACAATATAGTATATTTAAGATTAAACTGGAAATACAGTAATTTAGTGAAATCGTAGTACATTTCTGAGCTATACCACTCTGGCTTGGTGCCTTCTTTTGAAAATTACTTACACAATTCAGCTACTCATTAGACATGATCCTTTCTAATTACAGTAGGTAAGATACTGCACACTGAAAAATATGCATCAGAAGAGTAGGGATCATTTTTAGCATCCCTGCCATGGTCTGGTATCTGGTGTATGGGAGGGACTGGAGAATTTTTTGGTCTATCCTGGAATTACCTCCAAAAAGTTCATTCATAAATTTTTCGAAAGCCCTTTCAATCCCTATTTAGCATTACTATCAAACTACAGTGGTACTTCTGTTTTTGGTTTTAATCCGTTCCCAGAGACGGTTCGAAAACCGTCTCGAAAAAAGTTTTTTCTCGTTCGAAAAACTAATTTTCCCATAAGAAATAATGTAAATTGAATTAATCCGTTTCACACCCCCAGAAATATTAATTAAAAAAATACATTATACAGAATAATACTCATAGGTACCATTCCTTTATTGAAGACTCTTGTTGGCATATAGAAGACAGTGAGGAAGGGGGGGGGGGGAAGAGGAGAGGTGTTAGTGTTTGGGAAGGGAGTCCCCTTCCATTATAACAGCAGTGATGACATTTCTGGGGTACTCTCTCTCTCTCTCTCTTATGTTTTGCAGGCATACCACTAAGACCTGGTTGTGGTTCCCTGCTTGCTTGTCTAAGAATCTGTCCATAGACACTTTTTTCCTTACATTTTAAAACTTGTCTGTAATGAGACATTACGTTGTCTCGCTATGAATGATCTCATGTTTTTCCTCTATCGTCGTCATCACAATTATTTTCTTAGGTTGAACTTAACCACTGACACTCTTGGAACCCATGGCATGATATATAGTAAGAACTTTTATGTTCAGAAACCAAATACAGTAAGCAGAAAAACAATGGAATTCTTCACAAAGAATTCAAGCGCCGTTGTCACTAGGCAAGAGAGACTGGTAAGCTGAAGCATACTATGTGCTCAGTCTGCCCCAAACGTGTATCAACACACTCGAGCACAGAGGCAAACTTCGAGTATAGAGTAAATTTTTTTCGAAGCCATTGAGATTGAGAACCAAAAAATTAGAAAACAGGCATTTGAAAACTGAGGTTCCACTGCACCATCAGGCAGCAGCACCCAAAATAACATTGGGTTTCATTGTTCAGCATTCATAGTCCTCTTAACTGGTCTCCATGTTGGACAAGTTAAGTGACTTGTGTTTATCACTAGAAGCTTTGTGCAGTGGCTCATATTATTTAAGTAAGCTTTGTGCAGATACACAAGTTGTCACTCTGTACTCTTTAACCATCCATTTCTCTCGGTTCTGATCCAGAACCAGTAGTCCTTTCAGGTTTACCACTACATTTACAGTTTCTTGGAACTTATTCCAGACCCTTGGGCACTTTGCCGTGTCTTGAGTACAGGCTAGTATTATGTCACCCGTGTGTGGATGGGTGCTCCATTCTGTTCACCCCATATCACGCTTTGGCCAAGTTGCTTGTAGGTGTAGCTTTAGTGTGTGGACGAGGTATTCTTTCAGTTGCTGCTGTAACGTTGTGCCTCTCCTCCTTTTTCTTCTCTGGCTGTGGGCTCTAAGAGAATGTTGTTCTCTCAAACAAGCACTTGCAAGGTAGGGTATGGAGAATGGGATTTATATTTTTTCTTTATCCCCGGAGGTTTGACTGCAAAGGCAGAACATCAGTTAAAGCTTTCTTTTCTCTCTTACCAATGGGAAGGAGAGGGGTAGCTTCTTTGTAAGAGGGAGATGGATTCTTCTCCTGCAGCACTGGCTTGGAGATTTTGCTCCTTGGCAGGACTTGGGAGCCAATCCTTATCCTTGGTTGAGGATGTGGGCCAACCTGAGGTGGTAAGTAAAGATTTGGCCTGGTGCCTATTTGCTCCTTTTGTATTATGGAGCCTAGGCAAGATGGCACTTCTTATTTAGGGAAATTTTATGCCCTGCTCATGCTAGGTAGGTGAGATTTGATGCAATTCCTAATGCTGGACATGGCTAATATATCTGCAGTGAACCCAACTCTTCTCAAATTTAGATCGATGTTTGCAACATGTCTGTTACCATGATCTCGCTTTCTCCTGGTTAACCCTCAAACCGCTAGGGGCCCAAATGGAATTCACACCCACAGGCGCAACAAAAAAAAAAAATCCAAAAAATTCTTTCGTCTTATAGAAGTGTTCATTTTTGTTCCCTGATCACGGAAAAAAATAAAAAAAAAATCGTAGGTGGCATATTTTAGCCGCAATAGGGTAGGTAAGTGTGGCAAGAAAGGGGCGTTGGCAGAGCCTTCGCCAGACGAGGTCTACTCCGCCTGAGCTGTCAGACGGCAGTTGCCACAAATATATTATTACCTAATTATTTCAATGTCTCTGATTTTTTCTTAGTTTTTTTGCAGTAATATTATTCCATACAGTGAATTGTGGTATATTTATATTATAAAATGTGTGAACCATCGCTGTACTCAAAATTATGGTGTGCATATTAGTGATTCAATTATAATGTTCATAAAACAATAAACAAATAGTTCTGCTGTTGTTACACTATATACACAGGTTATATATAAGTATTTGCATGTTTTGTACACCATAACGAACTACTAAGTTGGTCTTGTGAGTCAAAAAGCAACGAGGCGTGACCGCCAAACTCCAGCTAGCCACTCACTGCCACTCCCTCCCTCAACACCACCTCACTCACTCTCATTCACCTCCCACAATACTCTTTCTGTATTTATTCACTATACACAGACGTTATATATACGTATTTACATGTTTTGTTCACCATAACTGTACATCTAAGCTTGTATGGTGAGTAAAGGCCATAAGACGTAGCTACTCACACAGTCAGCTGATCGGCGGCCGCCCTCAAGGCCAGACGCACTAATATTTGTCATCCAACAATATTGTTTGTGGTGTTATATATAATGTGTGTATATAGCGTAATAAGTATCTACCTGTTTTATTCACCATACCTGAACAAATAAGCTGGTATGGTGCCCAAAGATCATAGTGGCCATCAGTAAACAACATGCCAAGTCGTGCAGACGATGCTCCTCCTTCACCAAAATGGCGGCTCCCAACCTACTCCTCTCGCTGTTATCTCACACTATACACACATTATACAGTATATAAGTATCTACATTTGTGTTCACCATATCGAACCACTAAGCTGGTATGGTGAGTGCAGTCAATAAATGGTGGCCACACACAGTCAGAAAACGACGCCACAACCCTCCCTCCCACAGCCTTACTCCTCCCTCCATGGAGCACAGCACTAAATATCACCACAATCCTGCTATTATCAGAATCCTGGTCAGTTTTATCAGTCAGGGGGCTTCAGTAATACTATCACTGCTAAATAATAGCAGTATCATTTATATTATGGTATTTGTAGGCGATGCTGTGAGCTCGTGCTGCGTGCGCCAGCCTTGGTGGCTTGCTCAATACTGACCCTGTAACACCCAAGAATGTTGGCCTGGATTTTTTTTCTAGGTGACATCTGGTAACTATCGGTCATGGCTGTACTATAGCTACCCCTATCCCAGGCAGGGCATTTAAATTATAGCGCTAGACACGAAATCATATATAAATGATGTGCGCGGTTTCGGTTTTGTCACTGATATCATTTATATATGATATGCTCGGTTTGAGGGTTAATAAGCAGTACTTTTTTGTGGGGGGGGGGGAGTGACAGGTGCTCGATTCTAGATGGAGTGGAAGGTCTCTATGCAACATCTCCAAGTTTCTTAATTTTTGTAGCGATCCATCTTAGTGGCATTCCAAGTATATGGTTGACAAGCAACCAAATACCTGGTAGATGTAACTTACATTTTTTCCTTGGTGGCTGACATCTTTGCACATGTTGCCTGCAGTTGGACAGTGTTGTGCCAGTTTAAATAGTCAGTGTAGATGGTTTTGAGTTGCTCTCCACATGACATGCTACTACATTCCCCAAGCAAATCTTCCTGTGTTTGCATGGTCCCACAAGCTGCCTGTAGCATTTATTCATATTAAATTCCATCAGCCAAGTGTTGCTTCATACTGTACACTTATTTTTCCAGGTTACCTTGAAGTGCATGACAATTTTCTTATCTTCTCTAGTAACTTAGCATCATCAGCAAACATGTTCATATAGATCTGTATTTCTTCTGGTAAATCATTCATGTAGACAGTGATCATTAGCGGTGCTAGAACTGAACCCGGTGGTACTCCACTTGTAACATTTCTCCAGTCAGACACGTTTCCTCTGATTACTGCCCTCATTTTTGTCAGAAAATTTTTCATCCATGTTAGAAATCTCCCTGTCACTGCTCTAGTATGTTCCAGTTTCTAGAACAACTCTTATATGGAATTCTGTCAAAAACCCTTTTTACGTTCAGATAAATGCAGTCAACCTAACCATCTTTCCTGTAAAATCTCAGTAGCACTATCATAGAAAGTAAGTAGATTTGTTGCACAGAATTTTCCTGTGCAAAAACCATACTGTTTGTGTTATATCATTTCTCTCCAGGTGTTCTGCCCATTTGGTTTTAGTTACAGGTATATTTTCTAGTAATTTGACTATGACACTTGTCAGTGACATTAGTTTATAATTAAGAGGGTCTTCCCTGCTACCATTTTTGTAGATTGGAACTATGTTAGCCTTTTACATAAATCAGTCAAAAACTCTTGTACATAAATATGACTGAAAAATCAATTGTAGTGGAATGCAAAGTGCAGATGTGCATTCTCTCAGAACCCAAGATGAATTCCATCTGGACCAATTGCCTTGCTTTTACCTGGCTCCTTGAGCATCTTTCACTTAGTCTTGAGACACCTCTATGTACTGTTACTCTATAAAATTTGTTTTGTCATTTTCTTTGACAATTTAATTTTTTACAAACACACTTTGGCACCGTTTGTTTAGTGTTTCACACATTTCTTTATCATTCCCCATGAATCTGTTACCCATTTTGGTATGTGGCTTCTAGAGCATACTCATTGTGCTTTCAAGTTTTCTTTCTTTTAACTTAAACTCTTGCCTTAGGAAACAAGAGAGTTGCTTCCTATTTTATTTCCTGTTTTGGTGTCAGTGCTGCCACCTGGATTCAGTTTGGGATAGCAACTTCCTGGATCAAGTGCCAGCTAGTTAGACCATTAGTCGGCTGTACCTGTAATTCTAAGTAAGACTTGGAAAGGCTTCGAGCGTTTATGGATGACCTTTCTGGATGTTATTCTGGGCAGGAGTGAGAATTTCTCCAGCTCTCATAGTACCAGTATGACTCGGCAGGAATGAGCATAAAGCTTCCTGCCGTGTCGGTGCAGATAGTCAATCTGTCTTGACTGTGGAACAGATTGAATCTTGTAAGGAACTGAGAGACCATCCAAGAATGGTGCTTTTCATATATATTACAGTGCAATATATATACTGTGTATATATTACAGTTACCTGCCAGTTGTATATATACTGTATTACAGTTGCCATATTTTCAAATGTTGACAAAAAGTGGGAATATTATGAATTTTTAGTTAGTCATTGATTCTTACCTAAGTTATAAAGAAACTAATCACAGGGGGAAGTGGTTTGAAATGATTTGGCTGTGGTTAAAATAATTATCTTTAGATAAATTGATAACGTTGAAAGAATATTAAATCAATTGCCTAAGTACTGTGTTAATTTTTAATTTCTAGTATTGTACTGCATCTAATATGTATTTATATACACAAAAATAGGTAAATGCATTTTTCTATTGTATATACTGTATGTATGTATATATATAAATTATGTGATGGGTAATCCATGCCCATGGGGTTGATGGCTTCTAGTACTTCAATTAAATTTTTTTTTTATTATTTTAGCTTGTCATACTTTTTAATTGTAGCTAAATCTTAATGTTATTTCTCTTGGTATTCTCCTTTTTACATTGTTGCAAAACTTTTGTTTTATAATGCATTAGCTAATGGTTATTCTATCTCTTTGTGTAAATGCAGCTTGTTCGTAGTGGACATTTTGACAAGGTGAGTAGGCCTACTTTTAATTATGTGAACATTTAATTATTATTATTTATATTTAATAAGCTTTATTTCTTTTACTTGTCAAAATAAATAATCAAATAATGCTACCTGTACCTAGTTGGAAGAAATGGATCAAAATAAGTAATTAGTAAGAAAAAGGGGCTTTTAGCATGTAATAATAAAAGACCAAACGTTAATATAGAGGTGAAGAAGCAAATAAGTGTAACAGACATAGAATGTACGATTTAATGATGTTGGTAGCGTATGTTCGGCCACTAAATGTAAAATTATTTGTTCATATCAGATTTGAAAATACAGATAATACTGTTACTGAAACACAAGTAATATGTAGAGCAAGAGGACATATTTATCAATAAATTAATATCAAACTAACCTTTGGACAGTGGCTATGAAGAAGTGGTCATATCTGCCTATGCACAAAAAATAAAAAAAGAATCCAACAAATAATTTTTCATTATAGAAATATTAATTTGTATGCAGAATGTAAGAAAATAAATGAATATTTATAGTTTCAATGGGTGAAGGCATTGTGCAAGGCTGCGTCTGGCACTTGTCAACGCCTGGTGCTCAACTATGCTGATGCTTCCTGTCTTATCCTCCAATGTTTCACATTGTCTTATCAATTGTTTTTTCTTTACTTCCACAGAGCTTTTATATCCATATTTGCATCATACATGTAAAACCAAGACAATAATTGTTTAAATTTTTATATGATAACTGCATAACCCTGTGAATCAACAATTTATGATAACCGCTGTCTAAGGGTTAAAGTTTGTTGATGTAATACTCATTTAAATATTTACTAAACTGTCAAATTTATGGAACATGCCAGATGTCTGGTCACCCTTGTGATGGTATCTGGCCAGATAATCTTGTCTTCATATTTTCAAGAAATTTCAGCATTATAAATGTGTATTTTGACCTATATCAATATTGACCCTCTATATATTTTGACCTACCGGTTCTCAACCGGTTGGTTACGACCCACTTGGGGTCTTTTAAGTATTAGAAAATCCGGCCTTTCGTAAAAAAAAAGTTGGGAACTGCTGATCTATATCATATATACTTTCCTCTCGGTACAGTCAGACAGCATTAACATAATGACATACTTAGTACTTGCAGGTCCAACCTCCTCATGGCCACACACATATTATTGTTTAATGGCTTCTGTGTTGGGAGCCACTGAGTATCAAGGCCTGGAATTACTGGACATGGTAGCATAGTGCGTCAATAGTCTTTGATGATCTCTCATTATAAGTCACAGTCGGTCACCTTGGGTGACTGACTGTTCCCTCCATGGTCAAACACCAGCATTGACCAAGGCTCATTTTTTGGCAACAACTGAGCATTAATGTCTGGTAATAATATACAAGATACCTTAAGCCAGCAATGCATTGCTGGCCTTTTAAATTTTAGATACAGTTAACAGGGTATATGACATAGACAGCTAACTTACTAGCATACAAAATTGCCATGCCTGACAAGCAGTATAACATTGTCATTCAAGGTAAATAAAATTGTTGGGTTTCTAGTAGTTTTTCTAAATTTGCATATATTGTATATATATGTTGATTTCTTGGAGGGGGGAGCCCCTGCGGCTCCCCGAGGCTTATCCAGGCTGATATGCTAATGTCAGACTTTGGCATCAGTCATGTGTATGGAATTCTGTGGGCCTACCGGAGACCACAAGCCAGAACCTGGCCCCCCCTCAGAGAGTCATGGGGAGCAATGGCCTATAGAAACTCCCGTGTGGTTGGGAGCATTCTATGTCCGCCATCGTCCGGGTCAGGCACCCAGAAAGGTAAGCGTCCCAAAACAAACCCCTATTCTGGTGAAAATTCTACCAAATGCCGAACAAGTGGATAGAACTCCTCAAAAAGAAACTAGCAAACGAGTATGACGTCACACGTCGCTGCGCTGCTGTCTGCGCAGCATCCCCCCCCCCCCTCTCCGGGAGAGGGGAAGGTGGAGCACCAGACCCCTGCGCCGGCTATCCACCATCAGTTCTAAGGCTGATGCTAGAGACAGAGGTCGTGTGTTCTGGCTTCAGTGTTTTTCACCACTGTGCTTAGTGTGTGGTGGCTGTCTTTCAGGGGTGTGAGAGCCAGGAGTTATTCTACAGTACTCATGCTACATGCACCCAGGGTTACCTTCCCTAGGTGCCCTGTAAGTTCTGCCCTTGGAGCTTGGGGCTACCTTCCACAAGTTCCTTGGGTCATGCCTCTGCTGCGCTGTTTAACTGCTCGGTTTTTCGGCCGCCCTTTGGGTGCTTGGGTGTTTTGTCTCCCTTGTTTATCTTAGGGTAAGAGGCAGTTGCACTGGTAAGGGGTGCAGGATGCTGTGCAGCTTGTTTTCACCATTCCTAGCGGCCGGCTCTGTTCCTTGGGGTATGTTGTCCTCTTGCGGGGTTTTCTTTTTCTTTTTGCCTGCCTTGGGGGCCGGGTTTCTGCCTTGCTTGCCCCTTGGTGCCCGACCTAATACGGTGTTCTTCTGGTGGTGCTCCCTGCTAGGTCCCCATGAGTGTACACATCCCTGAGGTTCAGCTTTAGAAAGTTGCTTGGTAGTTTTTGGGCGTTGGTTAGCAGTACCCTACGTGGGATTCCCTGAGCGTGAGTTTCGTCTCAGGACACAGGACAGGCGGACTGTCCTGATTTTGCCTTGGAGGCTTGGCATTCCTTCTGTCGTTCCCGCACACTTCAGTGGCGCGAGGCATCGACGGTGGTTCAGGTTTTCCTGGGGGGGGGCGACCCTGAGTTCCTCAATGAGTGCTTGTTTCCCCTGCCCTTTCCCAGGATGTTGGCGCTGTGCAGCACCATGTGCAGGTTCCCTCCCTTTCGGCTACGCAGGTTGCTGAGGACTTACGCGCCCGGGCCCTCTTGGCTTCGGCCTTGCGTTTCTTTTCCCTCCTGAAGCTGTCTTTGGACTGGCTTGAGGATGTGGGGACGCTTGGGGCCGTTCCTGGGTCTGGTGCTTTGGGCTTGGTGGCTACCTTGTTGAAGCTCTTTGTGCCGATTTTGCAGGATGCAGTTTCACTGTTTTTATACTTCCCGACTCGCGTGTTGGCAGGCGGTTCGTGCCTCCTGCTCCGGAATCGGCTTGGGTCCTGGCTCTTAGGATGTCTTCGCCTTTTTGTCCTCTGCTTTTTGAAGATTCTGCCGTGGCGCAGTATATACAGACTGCTTCAGCTACTTATCGCCCTACGTCTGACTTGTTGGTTCTCCAGGGGTCCTGGGGGGGGGGGGGGGGACCTTCCCAGAGGGGTCGTGCCAGGGCTAGGGGTTCCTCTTGTCAAGGTCAGCCACGTGTGCCAATTTCAGATCCGGTGTCCCCTTTGTCTGGTCAGCGCGTTGTTCGCTCGGTGCGAGGTTCTGGGTCTCGTAAGGGGCGCCAGCCCTTTTGCAGTTTGCCCCATTGGCGGGGCGATGAGGCGAAGGCTTGTGCTGTTCGCTCACGCCTGGTCCTACGATTTGTGGGGGTTTCGGGTCGTTTCTTTTGGCCTGAGGTGGGGTTGGGGCACCCCTCCTCCTTCGGGGGGTTCGGGGCTGGTGGGGCAGGCCTCTTAACTTGCGCTTCGTCGAGTCGTCTTGGAGTGGGTTCGCTTGGGCGTGGTCTAAATGACGGCATCCCTCAGATGAGTCTCCCGTCTGTTCCCAGTGCCGAAACAGGACTGTGCGGACCTGAGGGTCATTCTGGACTTGTCCTGTCTGAACCCTTGGGTTCATTGCCCCTCCTTCTGGATGATTACGCTGTCCCAGGTTTGCCTCCTGTTGGAGCCGGGCTTTTGGATGGTGTCCTTGAACCTCCGGGACACATATTGGCACATCCTGATTCATCCAGGGTCCCAGGACTGACTCGGTTTCGTTGTGGGGTGTCAGGGTTACCGCTTTCGTTGTCTCTCATTCGGGTTGAATCTGGCACCTCGCGTGTTCACACGCCTTACGCGGGTCGTTGTGGCCCGGCAGTGTCTCTTAGGTGTTCGGGTGTTGACCTACCTCAACGACTGGCTGGTTTGGGCTCCCAGCTGGTCCTCTTGTTTGCTAGCCAGGGACTTGGTGCTCTACCAGCTCACCGGGTTCGGGTTCTTGGTGAACTGAAGAAAGTCCCATCTGGTGCCCTCCCACGTTTGGACATTGCTGGGTCTTGTGTGGGACTCTCGGACCGCTTCCTTGTCTCTTCATCCGGAGTCTTTCCTGTTGTTGCGGTCCCACATGCCTCTGTTTCTGGGGGGCTCCTGGGTCCTTGCTCGAGGGTCTGTGCGGGAGTCTGAACTTTGCGATTCTGGTCTACCTGCCGGGTCGGGCTTGGGTTTGTCAGCTGTTCAGGTTCCTTCGGGGACGTCTCTTCTGCCTCTCTCGCGATCGCTGGGTTTTTTGGGGTTCAGTGCCTTGGCGCCTACCCAAGCCCACACTCGGTGTTCACAGGCGCGTCGTCTCTCGGCTGGGGCTTTGTGACCAGTGCTCACCAGGCTGGCCAGGGACGGTGGGGTCCGTCACTGTGCGGGAGTTTGTGGCGGTGTGGTGTGCTCTTTGGAGGATTCGGGTCGCCTGCAGATCGACGATCCGGCTCCATTCGGACTGCTCCCCGGTGGTTCATTGCCTGAACCACGAGGGTTCGATGCGGTCCTTGGCTCTTTGGCGCTGGTCACTTCGGGTGACTTGTCTGCTGAGTTCTCGGTGTTTGGCTCTCCTGGCTGTTCATGTGCGGGGAGTGTTCAACGTCTTGGTGGACGGCCTGTCTCGTTTTGTTCCCCTTTCCATGGAATGGATGGTCGACGCCGACTCCTTCCATTGGCTTTGCCAGACGTTCGGACGCCCCGAGGTGGACCTCTTCACGTCGGCGTGGTCGCATCCCCTTCCCTTCTATGTGGCGCCCTTCCCCGACTGGGAGGCCGCAGAGTCGATGCCTTTCAGCAGGACTCGTCGAGGTGGGGGTTCCTGTACCTCTTTTCCCCGATTCAGTTGTTGCTCCAGGTCCTAACTCGCTTGGAGACTTACCAGGGGAGAGTTGTCCTTTTGGTTCTGTGGTGGCCCGGCCCAGCCGTGGTTTCAGGCGCTGCTTGCTCGGTGTCCGAACCCAGAGGTTTTCCCGCGGCTCCCCCTCTTCCAGCAGATTGGACCGGCACGTCATGTGGCTGGTTCAATCTTCTCCTCAAGTCTTCGCGTATGGTGTTTTTGACTGGAGTTCATCATCTCTATGGTGATCAGGTGGCTTCCTTGTTAGTGTCCCACCTGAGGGCTTTGTCTTGGCGGCAGCATGAAGTTTCCTGGCGGTCCTTCTGGTTCTTTTTTGCGACTTCGTCGTTGTACTTCGCTTTCTGTTAGGGTGGTGGTGTCCTTTCTCTCTCTTGGATGTTCAGGACCGTCATCTTATGTCTAACACTGTCGCCTCGTATCGTGCAGCGCTGGCGGAGCTGCTTCGGCTTGTTTTCAGTATTGATGTTACATCTTCGTCGTTTCGCAAGCTGTCTCGTGGGTTGTTTTGCCTCCGTCCTGCTCATGCGCTGCCTGAGCCGTCCTGGTTTTTGGCTAGAGTGCTCTCTTTTCTTTCTTCTCCTTGGTTTGTTGTGGCCCCTTCGGTTCAGGATTGTTTCTTGAAGGCTCTTTTCCTGTTGGCATTAGCCTCTGGGGGTTGGGTCAGTGAGCTTCATGCTCTCCTCCGGCATGGGTTTCTGCTCCTGTGGTCGTGGCGATAGGTTTGTTCGTCTGCAGTCGTCTCATATTATGGCAAAGAATGAGACTGCTGCTTTCCGGAGGGGTCCTTGTGTTGTTGATGCATCCCCTAGCCTAAGTTGCTTAGGCTAGGGGTGCATCATGTTTTGTGTCTGGTTACAGCCCTCTGCCGTTATTTGTGTGCCACGGCTTCTGTGTCCAGGGACGAGCTTTGGGTTGATCTGGTTTTCCTTCCCTGTTCGCGGGTGTGGGTCTCCTAGGTCGTCCGCAGGATTATTAAGGCTAGCCAGCCTGCAGTCCATCCCGTGCCCATGACATTCACAAGTTCGCTGCTCTTGCCGCCGTCTTTGGCAACATGTCCTGGGCTGACATTCGGGCGCGGGGATTTTGGTGGTCGATCAGGGTCCTAGCTGCTCGTTAGCTCGTGAACGTTCCTGGGCCTAGTCGGGCCTGTGACGCTTTGGGTCGGTTGCAGCCAGTTGTATCGACTTCGAGTTGAGGAGTGAGCAGCGACCACCTCCCGGGTAAGTCCCTCTACTTTCCTCAGTGGATAGTTGGCCGAAGCCGAAGGGGCTCCCCCCAGAAAACCAGCGTTGAATGTGATGAAACGCCATTTTCTGGGTGAGACCCGGAGGCTTCCTGGCATCCCTCCCTCCCTCCGGTCGGCGTTTTTTCGCGTTTTTGATGTCCAGCATCAGAGCTGATGATGGATAGCCGGCGTGGGGGTCGGGCTTCCCCTTACCCCTCCCGGGGAGGGGGGGGGAGCTGTGCAGACAGCGGCGTGGCGACATGTGACGTCATACTCGTTTGCTAGTTTCTTTTTGGGGAGTTCTATCCACTTGTTCGGGTTTTGGTAGCAATTTTCACCAGTATAGGGGTTTGTTTTGGGACGCTTACGTTTCTGGATGCCTGACCCGGTCGATGGCAGACATAGAATGCTTCCAACCACACAGAGCTTTCTATAGGCCATTGCTCCCCATGCCTCTCTGAGGGGGCCAGGTTCTGGCTCGTGGTCGCCAGTAGGCCCATAGAACTCCATACACATGACTGATGCCAAAGTCTGACATTAGCATATCAGCCTGGATAAACTCCGGGGAGCCTCCAGGTCTCACCCAGAAAATGGCATTTCTTACATTCATTGCTGGTTTTTTGGTGATTCCTAATTTGTACAATGGCTTCTACGGGGAAATGTGACTCGGACTTATGAGTGACCAAATTGAAGCTCCTTTTGGGGACATTCAGTTTATAAGTTAGGGACACATTGTACTGTTCAGACATGATTTTGGATGTTGTATAGCTTTCCAGCCCTATAATTTTTTGCCCATAATGCACCCCTCTAGGTGCTTTCCCTTGTAATTTTATAGTTTGGGACCTGTACATTTACCTGAAAATGAAATGGAATAAGTATAATTTAAGCTCTTGATGAATAAGTATAATTTAAGCTCTTGATGATAAAAAGTTTTCTTAATACCTCATAGATGCATGCAGTTATGGAAAACCTTAGCATTGTATTTCATTCCAACTGTGAACCAGGGTTCCCATTCTGGGAAGTAGTCCAGTGTTTCCTAACCAAAAACATCTGCTTCGATCGGTTCTGCTTCCTCTTATGCAAACCGATTTCTTTTGAGTCTCCTCACTTCTGGGTAGTGTGTGTCATATTCTTCCTTGCAGAGCCTGTTTGAGAGAAGTTTTTTTCAGCTTAGAAAAATTATAGCTTTGAAACATTCAAATTGGGTGCTTGTGCACATTAAAGACTTATCAGGCCATGCTCCTATGAGTATTAAGGACCAAGAAATTTGATCGAGAATCCTCTTTGGTCACATGTACATGATATCTCCTGATCCATGACTACTTTTTGCCCTCCCTTGCTAAGTGTTCAAGTCATAGTTTTGTGTTTGTTTTGCCCAAGCACTTACTTCCCCAAACCTACCTAACTTTGTGTGATGACACGAGTGGCCAGTGTCCCTCATCACTGTTAGGATTATTGTTTTGTCTGGCTTATGTTTCTAACTCTGCCATTTACAGTTTCTCTGGATGTTCCTCAGTATTTCTGGGGAAGCCCCTTGTTACTTCCTGAAGCTATCTCGCTGAGATGGCTTCCAACTACTAGATCACATCAACAGTAGAGTTCTGTTTGGCCTACTTGGGACCAGAGCCACAACCTGGCCCCCTCACTCATAGAGGGACAGAGAGCAGGGGGATACATTGCCAACCCACCGGGAAAAGTCAACAAAAAAAATACAGATCACTGCCAGGTTCAGAAAGATCAGAGCTTGAAACTTACAAATGAGCTCCCCAAACGATTGAATCTCTCGAAACTAAAGCGCGCTCATTGGCACCAACCCCCTGCCAATAGGTGAGGGGTGGTTGGAGCTCCAGGTCTGCCACAGCCCTCATAGCTTGTTCTATTGCTGACATGGACACCACCAGTTGGCAACTGTATTGTTTCTAGGTCATTAACCTCGTGGGTACTGCTACTTCTCAGCTAAATACCAGCCATCCTTAGACTTTGTCCTGTAGGGGCCATTTGCTAGGTATTAGTCTGTATTTTAGTTAGCTTTCTGAGTGTGTTTTCTGTCCGGTTCATGTTACTAGGATCTGGCTGTGGAGCTATCTCAGTGCCGCTAACTACAGGAAACTGCCAGGGCTCTCCTCGAGTCATTTCATTACATTCAACATTGACTGTCTTTGTAATTTTCGTTGTAATTTTCGCCATTTTTATTCAACAGGATAGCAAGGTTGGAGACCTCTCCCCCCAAGACGTGTCAAATGTTACCCTTCCTCCAACAAGAGAAGCTCGTTCTGAATTTGGTTGCTGCTCCCGTTGGATTTCTTCATCTACAACGTAGCAAAGTTGGAAACTCTGGATTGTGGTAACAATGCAATGTGGGAATTTTAAATACTCGTTTGAAGCTACAAACATGCCTGATAGCTTGTTGCACTGAAGGCATTATATAATTGTATTTATTGCCAGTTTTATTTTAATTATCATTCTGCTTTAATTTATTATCTTGAACTTATTTAACTGTCGTTTTCAGATATTATACGGAGATAATGCAGTATTTCAGTTTAATGTTTTGTGCTTACTTCTAAAATTGTTGAAATTGTGTAAATATTTTGCGTGTTTGTAATGTTCATAATGACATTCAGTGATTGTTTAAGATTAGTTTGGTGTCAGGAATTCAGAGAAGAGGATCAGATACTGAAATGTTCATGAATACAAAATGATATTTGCCACACAATATGTATGCTCAATCAATGGACCCATAGGGACTCATTTTAAGTGTCATGTGGCAAGCATCAAATTGTTAATTTCATTTTTCAAGTACAGTACTTAATATTTCATTTCACTTGGCATCACTTAAACCTAATTCATTCCAACAAGATTTTAAAATTGTTCCATCAGTAAAAAATCAACTGAGAACTATATTAAGGCTGCATGAACCCCCCCTCCCACTCCTGACTGCACACCACACCTCATAACATTACTATCAATGCACACTTTGCAGTTAATATTGCAGATTTCATTATAGTTTACATTTTGAGGGTTACTATGTAGTTTTGAAAACCCTGGAATAGAAATGAGTCGGAAAACTATATGGAATCGGAGAACTGTATGCTACATGAGTTTGAGTACTGTATACTATAGAAAGTGAAGCAGTGTTGAACACTGATTTTTTAGCAATGGTGCTCATCATTACAAAATAGAGAGTAAGTTTGTTGTCAATATGAAACATGTGGCTTAATTTCCCCCCATTGCCCTATTCAGTTTATTATTAGTGTAAAGCACCAGTGAGGTGGAGCTACTTGGTTTCATGTAGCAAAAATAGCTAAGATTGCTTTTCAGTTGAATGGATTATACAGTTTTTAACAGAAATGTTGTGTGAATATTTTCTATTGTATTTCAGCTGTTAAATGTGCAGTGAAGTGACGCCTTTGTTGGAAACAAAATAATGGGTGTCGTAAAGAAGTAATTTTTATTGTAAGTAGTAATAATACCTGCCTTTTATGTTGTTGGACATAAAATATCATACACGGCATTTCTATATATATTTTTAATATGGCTGTGATAAAATATTGAAGTAAAGTACTTAAGTACACCATGACAGTAGTACTTAAGGTTGATCATAAGGTCACACACATGTTGGCAGCAGTACTAAAGGTTGATCATAAGGTCACACATGTTGGCAGCAGTACTTAAGGTTGATCATAAGGTCACACATGTTGGCAGCAGTACTAAAGGTTGACCATAAGGTCACACATGTTGGCAGCAGTACTAAAGGTTGACCATAAGGTCATGCATGTTGGCAGCACTACAGTATTTTGTTTGGTCTTAGTGTTGGAGCACTATTTCATTTGGTCATGGGGGTAACAAACAAATCATTTTTGTTCAGTTTACTGATATTTTGCATACCATATTTGTTACATAATGCTTTGTGTAAATAAGTCGCATAATGTTCGGAATATTTCTTATTCTTTCTGGGATATATTTATTTTTTTACTGTATTTTTTATTAATTTTATTGCTTCTATACCGTATATATACTATACTGTATAATTATACACACAGATAACCACATGCTTTTCAGACACCTTGGGATCATGGCCTGATGAGTAATTTGTTGTCTGATTAAATGGTTAGTCATCCAGAAAATCTAAGGTGAAATGATAGGAAAAATTTCCTGTATTTTAAGTTGTATTCATGAATATGAGAAGTTCTGGGTGTTGGGAGTAGGTGTTGGTGTTGATAAAGTGCGGATGTTGGGTGTGGGTGTAATTGTCAGGAATGGGTGTGTGTCAGGAGTGGGTACAGGGCTTTGTATGTAGTGTGCGTATTGGCATATATGTTGTGGGTATTGACATGCAAGTGTGGGTATCGACATGTGAGTGCCTGCATTGGGTGTGAGTGCCTGCATTGGGATGTCAGCATGTATGGGTGTCAGTGTGTGAGCATTGGCATGTGGGAAGTGTGTGAGTTGTATTGCTGGGGGGGATGATGATGATGGTGGTGAGAAAGGCATTTCTTGCACCTCCTCAATGATCTACAAAGATGGAGAAGACTAACACAGGTCCACAGGATCACATCAACCCTAGCTGAAGAGAGGCCAGGGAGGGTTGGTTATGGGTTGGGGTGGTGTGGGAATCTCCTATGCATGTGACAAATTGTAAACAACAAGACGCAATATTTGTACTTGGTTGGCTATTTATTCATTTAAATATTTATAAGAAAAAATAAAGTGGTTTAAGAATTTAAGGTATATGATAGGGGATCCTACAGCAGGTGTCAACACTCGTATGGAGTGAGTTGGGAGAGGGGATTGAACTGGAGGATGATGCTGATGTGATCATCATTTACCAACCTCCAGGATTTTATTTGGTTGCCTGTCAATCCAGTCTGGTAGCCTGTGCAGCCTGTCCATCCTGACAGCATCAATTCTGCTGAGGTACCCTCGGATGTTGAAGTGCTTGACCTGCTCCCATGCTGTATTATCAACACTTTACCTCTTAGTTTTGCTCGTTGCCATTGTTACATATTGCTTTATCACTTTCACTTGTAGAAAAATTGTCAAAGATGGTAGATTTATCATTAATAAACTCTGAAAGCAGTCTTGTTCACTAGACACTCGATGCACCAACATTTCTCGAGATTCCACTCTCCACCATCTTAATTTGCTCAACTTCTCAAATGACAGCACAATTGGGTTCGATCTCCACACATAATCAGGAATCCTGGGTTCGAATCGAAAGAAGAGTAAAAATGGCTGGGCATGTTCCCATCACCTAATGCTGATGTTCGCCTAGCAGTAAATTGATACCCAGGAGTTAGTCAGCTTGCTATGGGGTTACATCCTGGGGAGGGTCAGTTGGTTGACCTTGGAGGGACCTTTATATAAGGCTAACATTATATATATATATATATATATATATATGTCGTACCTAGTAGCCAGAACTCACTTCTCAGCCTACTATGCGAGGCCCGATTTGCCTAATAAGCCAAGTTTTACTGAATTAATATATTTTCTCTATTTTTTTTCTTATGAAATGATAAAGCTACCCATTTCATCATGTATGAGGTCAATTTTTTTTTATTGGAGTTAAAATTAACGTAGATATATGACCGAACCTAACCAACCCTACCTAACCTAACCTAACCTATCTCTATAGGTTAGGTTAGGTTAGGTAGCCGAAAACGTTAGGTTAGGTTAGGTTAGGTAGGTTAGGTTGTCGAAAAAACATTAATTCATGAAAACTAGGCTTATTAGGCAAATCAGGCCTCGCATAGTAGGCTGAGAAGTGAGTTCTGGCTACTAGGTACGACATATATATATATATATATATATATATATATATATATATATATATATATATATATACAGGCATACCTCAGAATAAGAGTTTAATCCGTTCCTGGAGACGCCTCGCCTTCCGAAAACTCGCATTCCGAAGTTAATTTCCCCATAAGAAATAAAGGGAAATGAATTAATCCGTTCCTGACTACCCCAAAAACCCCACATCAAACTAAATTTTTATACCTAATTTACCTAATTCATCTAAATAAACCTACAAAACTGTGTTCCAGTTATTACTTACCTTGCTGTCGAGTGCTGTAGGCATATGGAAGATGGTGAGGAGGGGGGAGGAGGAGAGGAGTTACTGTTTGGAAGGGGAGTCCCCTTCCATAATCACATCACATAACCCCATGCCTTGTAACACTATGGATACCACTTCTCTTTCTAAATTTTTCAAACCAGCCCCTGCTTGCCTTAAACTCTTTCTTATCTGCATCACTCGTTGCAGGGGTATTCTTTTGAAGGTCTTCGTGCAACACCCTGGCTTTCTCACAAATAATGGCCTCCGAAACACAATCACCCCTCAACTCCTTGTCGTGTATCCAAATTAATAACAACTTTTCCACTTCTTCAAGTATTTGTGGTCTTTGTGCCGTTAATGTTCTTACTCCTTTTGCCACTTTAGCACCCATAATCTTATTTTTCTTCTTAAGTATAGTGCATATTGTTGATGTGGCTTTGTTGTACTGCCTACAAAGTTCAACAACACGTGTACCGTTCTCATGCTTCCGAATGATCTCTTGTTTCTCCTCTATTGTCATCCTCACATGAGCTTTCTGGCCTTTATCCTTACCACTGGCTTTCTTGGGACCCATGGTGAGATATATAATAACAAATTGTATAGACAAATCACCAAAAATCCAACAAAACACTGAAAATCCGCGAGAAGAAGTGATGTGGGGGTAGTCACTGAGCGCGAGACAATAATAAACTGAGGGGCGGCGGGGCGACGATCGCCGAACCACCACGCGCTAGGTCGGCTGTACGCGTATCAACAAACTCGCGTCCAAACTCGCCTCCCGAAGTAACCATCGCCTTCCGAGACAAATTTTTGGAGTAAATACACCTCGCCTTCCGAAAACCTCGCATACAGGGACAATCGCATTCCGAGGTACCACTGTATATATTTATATATATATATATTTTATATATTTTATATATATATATATATATATATATATATATATATATATATATATATATATAAAATATAAATAATACACACACACACACACATTTCTTCGGCATCTGTGTTTAGCTAGTTTATATCTATGACCTCTTGTTCGTAAAGTTCCAGATCTCAGGAAATCTTCCCTATCGATTTTATCAATTCCTGTTACTACATACAAAATAGTAACAGGAATTGATAAAATCGATAGGGAAGATTTCCTGAGACCTGGAACTTTAAGAACAAGAGGTCATAGATATAAACTAGCTAAACACAGATGCCGAAGAAATATAAGAAAATTCACTTTCGCAAACAGAGTGGTAGACGGTTGGAACAAGTTAGGGGAGAAGGTGGTGCAGGTCAAGACCGTCGGTAGTTTCAAAGCGTTATATGACAGTGTGCTGGGAAGACGGGACACCACGAGCGTAGCTCTCATCCTGTAACTACACTTAGGTAATTACAATTACACACACGCATACACACACAGTGGAACCTCGATTAATGAATTTAATCCATTCCGGCACCGAGCTCGTCATGTGAAATGCTTGTCTTTCAAAACGAATTTCCCCATTTAAAATATTGGAAACAAAAATAATCCGTTCCGGCACCGAAAAACATCAATCTGATATTCGCTTTTTTAAATAATGGAGCATCCTACCTGGCATACACTGAACGAACCTTCATGACATTTGTTCTTTTTTCAACTTTGTTCACTTTTTTTTAATTTTTAATTTTTTTATAACAAAAGGTTTGGTCAGTGTATGTCAGGTAAGCTGCTCCATGTTTCTTAAAAAAAAAAAAAAAATAAAAAAAAAATTTGGAAAAATGTCAAAGGTTTGTTCAGTGTTTGTCAGGTAGGATGCTCCATTATGACAATCTTTCTTTGTTTCAAATTTGTTCCATTTGTTTTGTATTTTTCATTTATTTATTAATAATGGAGCAGCCTACCTGGCACACACTGAACGAACCTTTATGACAATTTTCCCTTTTTCAAATTTGCTAATTTTTTTTTTTTTTTTTTTACTAAACATGGAGCAGCCTACTTGACATACACTGAATGGACCTTTTTGACATGTGTTTATTCTACAAAAACAATTCAATGCTTTGCAACATCACAGCAGTTACCCCTTTACATCCCAGCATCATTAGCATCTTTAAACAAAATAAATAATTTATTTGCATCGTCAGAAGCGTCCAAGAATTCGTGAGAAGCAGCGGGAACGCACCTTGTGGTTTTCTCGTTAATCAAACAAGCGCTCACCAATTGAGATAAATTGTTGGCGATCGTCATGCTCGTTATTCAAAATGCTTGTAAATTGAGGCGCTCGTCACTCGAGGTTCCACTGTATATGCACATACAGGCTGCTTGTCCCCGACAAAATTAAATATAATAAATATTACTATAGAAGCTTCACTGACAAAATGCCTATATTTGGAGCCAACATGGTGCACAGATATTCCTAAATTTTACTGATATATTAAATGAAACCACAACAATGAAAACTAAAATGCCTTGTGACAAATCAGAACAATAGGATGTGAATTTATGATGTCACAATGATAGAAAAAAACTCGTGTGGTGCCTCGTATTGTCAGTGGGAAAACTAGGCTCGTCTCCCATCCACACACCCCCAACACTTCCACGCACCCCCAACACTCATCCACGCACCCCCAACACTCATCCACGCACCCCCAACACTCATCCACGCACCCCCAACACTCATCCACGCACCCCCAACACTCATCCACGCACCCCCAACACCCATCCACGCACCCCCAACACTCATCCACGCACCCCCCCAACACTCATCCACGCACCCCTAACGCTGCTTTACTGCCAGGCATCATTCACCTCGCCACCTTATCCCACATTTTTATTAGGATTACCTACAGCTTTTCCTCAGCAGTTTATCTCCAATTTTATTTGGACAAATCCAAAATGAATAACTGGCATATCTGGGTAAGTACAGAGGTGTCCAGAAAGCTTGTGGTCATTTGTATATTTATTTTGCATCAGATTGAATTATTTTTATTTTAAGGAGGATCACTGTGTATTATTTGCTCACAGGTTTACCAGCAGTATGAAAGTCTTTGGTTATCATGGTATGAAATACCTGGATTGTCTAGCTACATTTAGTCACTTGACTTACACTGAGGGGGTATGTATGTTAATAATTTTTATATTGGTCTAAATATGTTTAAAGTAATTTGAAAATATGAATGTGCAAACAAGTGCTGCTATGCTGCATTTACCTCTTATAGAGGTCTACCTCCACCTATTTGGCTTGTGCCTGTTAAGCTTTTTGCAACATTTGTATTCTGGTTAAATCAAAACTTAATGGCTATCTGAGTTTGTGACAAAAGTTCTCAAGTTAACTGTTGTGGTGGTGTTTGTATGAAAATATATATAGAATTGCAAAAGTTTATTCTCTATGTTGCATTATATCATTCATGCGTAGGATCCAAATCACTTGCCGCCTTCTGGAAGAAGTGTCGGTGAAATATCACGGAAAATGTACGTGCACTTATATGTATGTATAGATGAAGCCTTTTGATTTTCAGCACCAGAAGATTAATGCACTTTGATATTGCTTTTCAAGCATGTAACATTCTGTGTACTGGGTACTTAGTAAAGGAGGAAGAATTGTTCATGCCATATTTTCAGTACTTATTTGTAGCGAATATTAGAAAAGTGACTTTTATATCCTTCGACACATCATCTTTATAATGTAGTGATACATAGCTATGTTATATGTGTGTAATGTAATTATTCTTCATATAATTCAGGGTGGCTAAAAAGTTAAGTTCTTCAAATTTTCACGGACGTCTCACATCATCTGTCATCAATTTAATTCTGCACATTTATTTTTTTTCCTTCTATTCTTTAGGTCTTTTTGTTATAGATATAAGTTTCACTACGTTAATTTTGCGACATAAATGATGTTGGGAAAGAAATTTCAGCACTAATGCATTTCTCATGATGTGATGACTCTTATTGTCAACTTACTAGGATGATAGTGTAGTGTTTTACTTGTTGCTCATTTAGGTTGCAGGAAGTTAGATGATGATTGCATTTTGTTATAGTATGACATACTGTACTATAACTCAAAGGTTATGCTCAATTCGTTCTTTTTCTTTTTTTCTTGAAATAGCTGATATTATCGGTATTCTAGTCATGTGATGTAATTTATAACGTTACACTGACCTGTATTATGTTAATTTGATTATGTTAAGTGACTGTTATATTATGTTGAGGTTTGTTTACATGTTACATGTTTTCAATACCTCATGAAGTATACATGATTTTGCTTGATAATTACTCAGAGGAATGCAATTTTAGGGACATATTCTTTACTATATAAACTACCATACTTTTATTAATATGATTGGTCTTT